TTTTACGGTTATTTCTAGGGAAAATTTTCTTTGTATTTATACTGATTAGATTTTAATGAATTTCTTGGATTTTAACTTACTGTTTTCCAGCAGATTTTAGAATTTTTAACCTATTGTATCTATAAATTTTATTTCTTCCCCTTCGTCACCTGTCCTGCTAAGATTCCAAACTACACATATGGTGGATTCTTTCCTATTATCTCACAGGTCTTTGATGTTCTGATTATTTTACTTTATTCTTTCTTTTCTTTCAATTTTGACCTGGGTAATTTCTATTAATCCATCTTCAATTTTACTGGTTCTTCTGCCATCTCCAATTTGTTGCCATGCCTATTTGGTGAACATTTTAGTTCAGCTATTATACTTTTGAGATCTAGAGTTTTATTTTTTCAGTTTTCATTTTTTTCTTGAGTTTTTTTTCTGTGTTCATTCCATTGATAGTGTTTTTTCCTTTAGTTCTTTGAACATATTCGTGGGAGCTTCTTTGAATTATTTTATCTGCTAAATTCAGCATTTGAGCCCAGAGTCATTTTTATTGACTGCATTTTTTCCAAGGTATATGAACACTTTCCTGTTTCTTTGTGTGTCTAGGAATTTCTGAGTGAAAACTGGACATTGTGGATTATATGGTAAAGTGACTATCGGTTCTGTCATATCCATTTGAAGCCCTTGGCTTTTTGTTCTAGTAGGTTAACTTGCCTGTGTTGAAACTGCAAACTTAGTGGCAAAAGTTCTTCACTTCTCCTGTGAAGTATACAGCTCATAGCTTCCCCCTGCTGCATTATTAGCCTGAATCCCTATATGTCTCCCTTGTACAGGCACAATTTGGCAGTCAGCCCAAAGATTTTGACAAAGATAGTGCTCATCCTCTCTATTGTTTTTTTGCTTCTCAGAATTCCCTTATAATTGACAGTGGCTCTGTTGCTTTGAGCACTGTACTCTGACAAATCAGGACTATCCAGACTCGTCTTTCTCCCTCTCAAGCTACAAAAGATTGATGAAAGTATTACGTTAATAAAAGAATCACAAATTCAAAAATCTGGTATTTTCCTCTTCCTACTTTTTCACTTGACGTCATAGGTTTCTCTTGCTTATGTATAATTTTGCTGTCAGCTGTGAATTTGTGTAGTTTGTGCCTTGTGTTTGGGTCTCATGCCTTCTGAGGTCGGCTTGCTGTCAAGAATTCTCCTTTAAATTTTCAGCTGTTTTCCCAGCTCTAAACTCAAATTCCTAGCACCTTTAGCCAGTATGACTTTATTTTCTTTCCTCTCTCTTTTTTTTTTGTCACTGTAGCTACAGAGCTTGGTCAGTGCCCTAGGGCCAGTAAGCCATGAACTATTAATTCTTACCTCCTCCACTTTCAGTTTTCAAAATTATACTCTCTTCAGCCTCTGTCTGCTTTTGAAAGATTTAAAGTACCTTTTTGTTTGTTTGGTTGGTTTAATCTAGTATTTTATCATTGTCATCTCTGGGGTTTTGTGTGACCACTTCAGTCCTTCAGCATGACCAGAAGTTGAACTTATTCATCCCTATTGATTCCAAATAGTACATTTTTTGAAAGGGCTTCTAAGCATTCAGTAAAATTTAAGTGAAGTTTTAGACATTAATTTGTACCTAAACTCTTCCAAGTTCTTGAGTTCATGTTACAGTTTGTACTTCTTTCTTTTAAGGAACAGCAAGTTTATATTTTATGACTTTCTTCAGCTTCTGTTAATTTTGTGTGTGTGTGTTCAGTAGTGCATTGAAAGTCACTATTCATTTGCCACTACTTCAGATATCTAGACATTTGGTTGGAAAATAGCTTGGCATTGGACTTGGTAGTACTCTTGGGAAAGTTAGAATTAAAAGATACCAATTAAGTCAGAAAACTAAGCCTTGTAATAACATGAGGAAAAAATAATATCCTGAAGCAAATGCCTTGGGAAATGAAGATAACAGAAATAAAATCACCGAAGTGAGTGCCTTTAGTACTTTTGGCTATGTTCCCTAACCTCCACAGGTAATAGTAGACTGTCAGCTGGGAGGCATATGTGGAATTTCAAGGATAGAACTATCCTATGTTAAAGTGGCAGGAAGCATGAATTAGTTAGGATTTTATATATAGTCAAGATGCTGAGCTTGACAGTTTAAAACATTAAACACTCTTCTTCAGACTTTTTCTAACTTTGCTTTTATTTTGTATAAGCTCATATTATTCTGTGCCCCAGGCCCAAGGTATAGTTAAGTTTACTGCTCTAGTGTAGTAAACTTTATCTGACTCACTCTCACTCTTTCTTGCCTTTAGGTTTCATGAGGGTGGTAAACAGGATCCATTTCTATCTGTACTATATTGGTTCACTATTTTTGGCATAAATTAGAGTTGATCACTTCAGATGTATTGCTGCTTGAGCACCGGATCCAGCTGCTGTTAACAGAAACTCCATGGTAATCTTTTCTCCATATTTCAAGACCCTAAGCCTCTTACCTAGTTTTCTCATTAATGGAAAATTTCCATTCTCAATCAACATGGCTTGAGATCCTTTGAGCAAACATAATTATTCCTACCACCAATTCTAATAACTTTCTTGTGATTTAATCATGATTACCCATCCTCTTTATTCTCTATCGGTTCATTTTAGATACTTTTCTAATTTCCGTTTTCTGGCTTTCACAGGATCTTTGGAGAGTCCCCTTTTCTTTACACCTTTAATCTGACACAACCTGCAAAAAATTTTTATTCAGTTCATACTTCCTGCCACTTTAAGATAGAGCAGTACTATCCTTGATATTACACATTTATGTTTTGTCTCATATGCCTCCCAGCTGCCAGTCTGCTGTTACCTGTGGGGGTTAGGGAAGATGGCCAGAAATAACTAAGACCACTCTCTTAGGCGACTTCATTCCTGTTATCTTCATTTCCCAAGGTATTGGCTTCAGGATATTTTTTTCCTTGTGTTATTACAGGGCCTAGTCTGCTGACTTGATTGGTGATGCTGATCATTCTCAGCTTTTCAGTTTCTCAGCTTAGAAGCAAGGAATTTTAAAAAGTCACTATCAATGCCTTTTATCATGAAAAAGACAAGTAGAAGGAATTAGTTCTCTCACGCAGGGATGTCAGTGTGTATGTGTACCAGTGGGAACCAGACATCATGTCTAGGTAAGATCACTTATCACACTGCAGCTACTTTTCTCTATGGTAATTTTAGCTGAATTAGGTCGTGTTGTAAGCGTCCACAAAGCAAGAAAGGGAATAAAATATCATCAGAATAATGCACACATGCTTATATTTCAATGAAGCTTAAAATCTTTTATAGGAAACAATATTAGGAAGGTTTTTCTCCCTTGTAGTGATAAATGTGAATACAGTTACTGTCACTATGACTCTTTCTTAGGTGTTCCCTTAGGTCTCATGGCTGCTTTCATTAAATTAGAAGAAAAAAAACCAAAAAACTCAATTCTGTTTACAAAGTAACACATTTTTGTTATTTATCAGCCAAATAAATAACAGTCATTGTAGGAGTTTTATTGAAAAATGTGCTTCTAATTCACTTTTAAAAACTGAGTAAGGGGGAGAAAAGAAATAGAGTGTGATGGCAGCCCCCAAACCACCATTTTGATAAGTTACCATCATTCATACTCAAGGCTAGAGTTTTAAAATTCAAAAATAGAAAATTGTATTCACATTGTTGATTCTGCACAATCACACAAAGCTAGATATTAATATTAATTTGAATTAATTTAAGCAAAGTAATTAAAATAAAGAAATGTCCTATTTTATCATTTTCATATATAGTAATTATTTTTCTTATTTCAAAAAAATAACTATGGCTGGTTTTTTGTTTGTTTGGTTTTTTTTTTTTTTGAGACAGACTCTCACTGTTGCTCAGGCTTGTGTGCAGTGAGTGGCATGATCATAGCTCACTGCAGTTTCAAACTTCTGGGCTCAAGTGATCCTCCTGCCGCAGCCTCCCGAGTATCTGGGAATATAGGCACGAGCTACCATGCTCAGGTAGTTTTTTAAATTTTTTGTAGAGATGGAGTCTTGCTGTGTTACCTAGGCTGGTCTCAAACTCCTGGCCTCAAGCTATCCTCCCACATCAGCCTCCCAAAGTACTGGAATTACAGGAGGTGATCCACCATGCCTAGCCTTGAATTATAGATTTAAAAAATATTTGAAAATTTGTTTTTAATAACAGAGTAGATTTGTCAAAGGTTTCTTCAGTAGACCACTGCTTTTTTTTCTTTTCAAAGTTTCAGTTAAACCTTAAGAGATAATATGATCCTGTGATTTTTAAGGTTTTATGGTTGTATCAATTGTGGTTTTTCATGAATTTATAGGATTATAAATGACAAATCTGGATTCTGGTCCATTTCCTCTGTAGCTTATTAAAATAAGACCTTTTAGAATCACTGCAACTATTTCTTTATTAGTTTCATGCCATAACTTAGCCTTGATTATAAACAAGCTCTAACTATTAATATTTCTTAATTCAATTTAGTCTTTTGGCATTGGCAAACAAAAATTACTTCACTTCAATAAATAAGCATTGAGACATATTCTTGTATTTGGAAACTTATTGTGGGAATTGTACTTTTTATTTTTACTTCCAACTTTGGATAGGATTAAGGTAGATTATTCTATCTTCTTCTAAAATAGTATAAAATAAATATCTGCTTATAGACCTTACAATTTAGAGTAGAGGGGTTTCATGTTAGAAAAATTTGATTTGCTTTTACACTTAGACATAAAAGAGGCAGTTTATAGCGGGCATTTATAATTTATGTTTCAAAAAATTATTATTTTCCTTTATACTATTTTTTATTCCTACTTATAGAATGAAAGAAGCTGTGAACTTGTATTTAAGATCGATCATTCATTATGACCCAAGGGCAGACTAATACAGTAATGACTAAGTCTGATACAGGCATTTGGGGTTCAATCTCTAGGTGACAGGTAGTCATGTATCATAAAACTCACCACTTGAACAGGCATTGACTGTCATCGTCGATAATCTTGGCAGGAGCAACATTGATTGAATAAATATAAAGATTGAATTTGCCTTCTTCTGGCAAGTTGGGCATGGAAGCAGGACGAAGTATAAAAACTGACAGTACCACAGCATTAAATCTATTCAACTATACTTCAGAGAAAAGAAATGGCAGTGATTAAAGGTATTGTTCAATTCAACAAGCATTTATTGAGCAGTTCTATAGCTTAACACTGTGTTAGCTGCTAAAGGATACAAAGGGATAAGACAGTGTGATTTTGCCCTAAAGAAGTTTATCATCTAATTTGGGAGATAAATAGTTCATATATGAAACAGCTAGAGAGCAAAAAATGACAACATATAATCGAATGTGTATTTGTTCTTGCAACAGAATACAAACATAGTTTATTTGCGTAGCAAGTGGAAAAGATGTATCTTTATGATGTGAAATTTTATATGGCAGCATAATGTAACGTAGCCTGGGTTAATAGAGATCTTTGGTTATTAAAAATGAGTGAAAAAAACTAGTAATTGAAAAGATGTCTATTTAAAGTATCCTTTAGCCCAATGCAAAAGTATCAATTAGATATATGAGCATTTCATACATGAGACACTGAATAAATTCAAGAATAATTTACAACCTGATAGTCTAATTCAGTTGGTTGAGTATAAACTTCATTAGGTTTTATTCAATAGTCTTTCTTTGCCTCATATATCATAAAAGTTCATTCACTTTATTTTGCAGTATTCTAAATACTGTTTATTTTTTCAATATCCAGGTATTCTGAATTGTATTCTTCTATGTATCATCTAAATATAATTTATTTTTCCAATATCAAGGTGTTTTGAATTATGTTCATTAAAAAGGAGGCCTTAAAGAATACAGTAATCTCCTTAGTTTTGTGTAAGGAGGCTGTGTAGCAAAGCAGCCTCACTACATTATGTTTTTTGTTATTTTTTCCTCCATTACTTAAGTGGAAAGGTCTAGTACATTTTTAAAATATCTTAAGATTCAATTTTGACTGGGAAGCTTTCTCTTCCTCTTTGCCCTTCCTTAGATATTTCTCCACTGTACCTCCATACTTCTTGTATGTCTCATGACATGTATCACTGTATTTTATATTTTCATAAATTTATTTGTCTGATTCACTAGACTGGCTTCTTTGCCCTATCACCAGGACCTTATACAGTTATTGGTACATCATGGATTTTTAATATATGTTTAATTGAATGAATAAAACATCATGATGCCAGACAAAGTTTGTATTTAGTTCTTTCAGTAAACAAGCAGTACATCCTGTAGATGTGTCCAGTGGGAGTGAATCTTTAATATCCAGAGTTATGGACAAGTTGTTTACAAAAAAAGAAAAGAAAAGCAACCTCCTCTTTTATCAGTCCCCACCTCTACCATATAATTTTAAGAAAATTGATATGAAAAACCATGATATCCATTTCCCTGTACAATCAACAGTTTTTGAACTTGCCTTAACAAGCATATGGACTCCTTAAATCAGTCCAAATACAGATGTGATATATAGATATAATGTGTGTGTACATCCTTAGTAGAAACAGCTTTTCAAATGTTGATACTGCCTTCCTCCCAGTGCTCCACTGACTTAATGATTTCAGATATAGATTCAAATTGCATTTTTAATTTTAGGGGGTAGACAATATTTGGTCTCTGGCTTATCTTTTTAAAGGTTATTTCTGAGGCTGGCTTAGAGTGGTTTAAATCCCAAATAAATGCAGTCTACTCCGTTATCAGTTCATACTCTTAGATACTCGGATTTTCTGAAATAAGGTCAAGTTGATTCCACAGCCTACTGGTGGTAGGTATTGGTGCTATCACTTTGGCTAAATGTTTTCTATTTGAAACAGTTATTAATTCAGTGATATCGTGTTAATAAATTTACTGACTACTCACCTGGAAATTTTGATGTTATAGTTTTTGATAATATAGCTTTTTAGTGGCAGCTAGCTTTCTTTTGGCCAAACTACATTTCAGTATTGAATTATTTGAACACCAAGATATTTTGACAAATAGGAATTCATGTATTTTATTATTTTTAACTTTTCATTACTTCAGAAATCAAATTAAAAAATTTTTTTTAAAAGTCATATGATGCTGGAGCTAAAAGCAGCTCACATGGGTAGCAGAACACTAATATGAGCTCTCTGTAAGCCATACATTTCAATAAGTCAAGAAGAAAATAAAAGCTGGCCATTGTAACATTTGGCTTTCTGTTGCAGTGGCCTTTGCTGGTACTGCCAACTTCCAAGGCACTTAGAAGATTCATAAAGGGTTGATCAAAACAGTGGAAACAATAGCAGCTGTCATTTCATCAGAATCTCTGTGCAAACCAATTAAAGAGCTCTGTCAAAACTATTTAAATACATAAGGTGATGAGTCTCTATGATAGCCTTTCATAAATTAATTCTACCAATATGAACAGGGTGCTGGTGCTGTAGATGCTCAGCCGGGCCAGGAGGTCGAGCAGGTGCGCGGAGAAGTTCTGGTCAAACTTGTTGATGGTGGCCTCGAAGCTGGACGCCAGCTGGGGGGCGTCCACGTGCTCGGCCAGGTACTTCCTGGTGAGCTTCCGGGCCCGCTCCTCGGCCCACTCAGCCCCTGCGGATGGCCCCAGCAGCGCACCCTGTTCCAGCGTCGGCCAGCCCGGCTCGCCGTCTAACTTCATGCTCTGTGTGAATGTCTGCATGCAGTTGGTGAACATGGCGCACACAGACATGAGCTTGGAGAAGACCTTCAGCAGCTCAGGGTTGGTCAGCATGCAGTCCTTCAGGCAGTTGTCCAGGAAGCTCGTGCTTCTGTTAGGTGCTTCTGTTCTCACAGAATTTATAGCTATACATGACACAAGGACTGCTCCAGTGTGCCGCATTTAAAGGATTTATAAGGCAGAAACTTTGTCTCTTCTTTGAACCACTGGCACTATCTACTAATAAGAGTTCTGCTTCCTTTTCACTCCTCCAGAAGAGAATAAAGTCCAGAATGGTCAGTGGTGTTATCAGAGTAGAAAAGTTGAGGTATCATAAGATCATAGTAGCCTTTAATTTCTTTCTACTGTACCTTGCTTCATAAACATGAACATAAGGAAGAACAGGTAGAAAGTAGGAGATCACTATATGAGGCCATGGTAAGTCTTCTTTTAGGTTTAATAAAGGAAAAGCAGAATGGCAGGTGAATAAGGTCCATAAATATGAGAATGTAAGTGTATGCAAGTGAATGCAAAAAAATGGAAGAGTAATAGAGGTAATGGTATGGAAAAATACAGAAAGAGAAAAGAGAATTCTAATTTTAATGAAGTCTAGTTTGTTAATTATTTCTTTCATGAATCCTGTCTTTGGTGATGTATTAAAAAATCATCACAGTACCCAGGGTTTTCTAGGTTTTCTCTTCTGCTCTACTTTTTCTTTTTCAATAGCATGCATCATTTTCTAACAAACTATATAATGTCCTTATTTTTAAGAACATAATGTGGGAAATAAAACATATAAGAGGATGTTCAAAAGTAATGAGTGGGCACAAATAATTTATGTTTATTAAGAAAGGAAATTAAGGAAATAGAAAAAAAAATTATCAGACCTGAAGAAAGCTATTAATCTTCAGATGGAAGGGCAGAGCAAGTATCAAGAGGAATGAATAAATAAAATACTTGTGTCCAAAAATATTCTTTTAAAGTTTTTGTCCACCAAAGATAAAGAAGAAAATCCTAAGAGATTCCAAAGAGAGAAAAAAGAAGTTATCAATAAAAGAACATGAATTAAACTGGTATTCTGTTTCTCGCCAGCAACCCTGAATTCTAGGATACAATGAAGGAATTGCCTTTAGGCTTCTGCAGGCGATTGATTTTGAAACTAGAAGTCTATATATCCAGCCAAACTATCCATGAAATGTGAAAGCAAACAAAAATAAATCAGACATGCAAGGACTCTGAAAGTGAATCTCCATTATGCCTTTTGTGTGGAAGAGCCCTGAGAATATACTCCAATTAAATGAGGGAGAAAATTATAATAGACGAATAGGTGAGAGCCAAGAAACAGTGAATCTTACTCACATTTACTAACAGTGAATCTTAATCACGATTGTAATAGGAGAGCAAAATACCTGAAGTGCTAACGTGACCATTTTGCAGCTGTCCAAGAAAGCAACTGATTCAACTTGGAACTCAAAATCTGACAGGCAAGCAACAGTCCTACAGTTAACAACAGCCAAAGGGAATTATGGATTTTATAATTCTGAATACTGAAGGACTAAAAACACTCCTTAAAGGAGTTAAAAAGTATTCATTATCAACCTGTTCTCTGTTTAAATTGTTTTTGATTGATTAGCTTCTTCTTAACCCACATTCTCTCTTCTTAAATGTTATCAGTGTTCCTTTTTTAAAAATTTGTTGTTTTTTTTTAAAAGTAGTTGCTGGCACATTTCACAATTTACCAAAAAATAAATGATAAAAATATGCATAAAAGAGCCAGACCTGAAATTATATTAGACAAATGATTGATTTGTATATCCTCTTACAAATACCTTTACATTTGAAGAAGTTCACTGATACGATGTAAAAAACAGAGACTGGGTGAGGGTTTTCCAGTGAAAGGAAAAGTTTCAGGCCCTGGAGAGACTGCTCTGACTCAGCTCTCCTCCAAGTAGCTGGTTACTGGAGCTGTTTCCCTTTTCCCCAGTACTCCTGAGCCTCCCAGTCAGCTGTTCCCTGTGTTCTATCTATCAACCATTTATGCTTTAAGATCACTTCACAAAAGGGACTCTGAGACCCTTTTAAAATCAGCACTCTTTAAATTTAGAGATGAAATTATCCAATTGGGTATGTTTTTAGAATTCATACTATCTTTTTAGGTAGTTCATAACTGTTCTGTGTATGAATTATTTACAGATGAATACAGTTTCAGCCAAATTGCCTTATTTAAATGCATCATTACTGGACACTTCAGTAGCTTCTTCATTTCAACACTGAATTTTACTTTCTTTCCAAATGTATTTGCATAAGCAGTCTATATCATTCTTGATTCACCTGTTTTACTGTATTAAAGTAATAATTTTACCCATCTTTAAATCCATATGCATTAGATTATTGCTACCGTGAGAATTTATATGTGAATATGGGTATTTTTTTCCTGTCTATGTGACCTTGTATTAATAATTACTGTAAAATTGAAATTGTTTTCCTTTCAGTGCTCTCTAGTACATTTTTGTTTGTTTTTAAAATAGGCAGTCTTTCAAATGCCAGATTTAAGAGTGTTTGTTAGCTAGCAAAGCTGTCCTTGTTGATTGAATAGCTATCCAACAGCATTCTCTGTCTTTTCCAGACAGCATTTCTGTAAGAAATCTCATTATATGACTCTGATGCTACTAAGAATTTCCCTGCCTTCCTTTATTATTTCTGCCTCCACTTTCACTTAGCTTCTGTAGCTCATGTCCACTCAGACCAGTCTTTCCAATACAATGTGAGTGAAAATTTTAGCCTCCATTCACTTCCTTTCTTACTCTTCCTTTCTTCACAGGGTCACCAATAGGGACCTTGACCCTTCAGACATGTTAGCATTACTGGTTACAATTTTTCTATTTTTGTTTATTACTCTTCACCTCTTCTGTTAATGCAAAACCTCACTTTTCCAGTTACCAAGGATTCTTCTAGAGCCCTTAAAGCCCTGAGTACCTTGAGGTTTTGATTTTCTGTGCAAATCCCTCAAATGGCTTCCAATCTGAAAACAATAGCCAAAATACTAACAAGGTATTTATATAATCTGTCTCTCTGCTACCTCTCTCACCTTTTCATTTGCTAATCTCTCTCTTATTTGCTGTGTTTTAGTCATACTGTCTCTTTGTTATTCTTAAAGACACCAAGCACACTTTCTCCAGGGACTTTCTTTCCACTAGCTAATTCCTTTGTCTGGAAAGTTCTACTTAGAGATATCCTCATGGTTTATCCCCTTCCATCTTTCAGATTTTTACTCAGATGTTACCTTATCAGTGAGGCCTTCCTTGACCACTTTATGAAATAACAATTCCCCACACCTCCAGCACACCCCATGCCTCATAGCTTCAGACAGGCTGTATGTTTTATCATCTCTGAACGTCCACTAGAATGCAAGCTTCATAAGGGCAGAGGACTTTAGTTTTATAAACTATTATACAGTAGTCCTCCTTATCTGTGGTGGATATGTCCCAAGACCCCCAGTGGATACCTGAAACCACAGAGAATACCAACCCCTATATATACTAAGTTTTTTCCTATATATGCATATCTATGATAAAGTTTAATTTATAAAGTAGACACAATAAGAGATTAACAATAACCAATAATACAATAGAATAATCATAATAATATACTATAATAAAAATGTGAATGTGGGTTGTCTCTCTCTCTCTCTCAAAATATCTTACTATATTATACTCACATGTTTTCAGATTATGGTTGACCAGGGGTAACTGAAACCACAAAAAGCAAAACTGAGGATAAGAGTGAGGAACTAATGTATTCTAAACACCTAGAACATTGCGTG